TACTAAGTTTATGTTTCTTACTTGATGGAGTTCATTTTTTTACAGCTGATCCAAGAAGACATATGTTTGCAAGTTATTTAGTTGTTTATTGTATTTCGTTTGCTCAAACATATGACTATATGAAGTGTATATGTGTAGGAAGTGTGTGTATATGAAGTGTAATAACTGATACTTATCGTACCTGTTTTCCTATAGTTTCAAAGGCTTTTTAAATCGATAAAACGCTGCAAAGTACATATATACCTACTAGCTCATATAGTTACAAACATTAAATTTTGTCCTTTCTCTTTCTGACCTTCAATATCTATTTCTTGGGCTTTTGGGTATTCATATTTATTGCTGTATTAAAATTAGCAATACAAATTATTCTTTAAACTAAAAAAAGTAATTAATTCATTAACTGTTAATATTTTAAATTACCTACTAAATGATAGCATAGACTAACCAACACAAGTAGACTTCTCATCCCACTGTAAATTTTGAAGCACGTTTTTCGTGTCTAGTTCATGTACGTGACACGTGGGCGCTAGTGTCGACGAAACTTTGTTTCTATTATTTTAGGGTTAATTTCTTGATTTGTGCTTTACTGTTTGGTTATCTAACTACCCCTAGTTTATGATTAGATCGTATTATTTGGCTAAACGAGGTTTTAAATGGCTGTAATAACGGGAAACAAATTGTAAACAAAACACGACCTCTACATAAACCGTACAGAACTAACAATAAAATTGTCTTCAGCTGTTCCATAAGGATGAAAAATCTACTAGGGAGTATGTTTTATCTATGATGATAGTTTCTGTTAAGTTAAGTAGTTCAGAAAATATAATGATAATTTACGGAATGTACGTTTATGAAACAATTTTATCAGTAAAGGACAGACTTCATGATTTGGAACGAGTTGGGGATAGTCATAATTATTTCACCAGAAATCGGGAAAACCTTGTAATTGGCCACCATAGTCTAAAACTTTTTGAGAAAAAACCCATGTATGCGGGATCAAAATTTTATAATAATCTCCCAATCGAAATTAAATCAGAGACTTCCAAAACAATATTTAAAAATAAATTAAAGAGATTTCTCATCAGCAAGGCTATTTTTTCTTTTTAAGAGTTGAATAGTCTTTGAAGTAAAAAACAAATTCAATTTATGTATTTTTTGTTTAGACTTAAAAAAAAATTAAGTTTGTGAAATTTTGTTTTTATTTTATTATGTTAGAAATGTATTTAATAACTATTAGGCCTACTTGCAACTGTTGACACTATTCAATGTATTATGTACAGGAAATGAATAAAGTAGTTTTGAATTGAATTGAATTGAATTAAGTATTCTATTTATTTATTTTCTCTTTAGTCTGTCTCCAAGACATAAAGGTTTTGACATTCAAATATTTTGCCCTTGGTCTGGCTCTAACACATATTTTGGGTTTAAAAATATTAACATTTTCTTTATTATTATTGTTGGATTTTAAAATGTTCTGTGTCCATGTTGATAAATATAAAAGGTTGTACTCAATTATTTTTTGCCATTGGTTATTTAGTGGTTTTTCTCTATATCAAAGTATCAAAGTATTAACCAAGATAAAACTCTTTTTACTAAAACTCTAAATATCTCAGACACATCAAGATTTACAAAGAAGAAAATAGTTCAAGGTAAAATCTCCTCCTTTAATTTATGATTTGGTTCCTACTAATCAAGTCTGATGCTAAATTTTATTCTAACTACTCTGATTCTTTCCTCTCTAATCATTTCAGTTTCCAAATTTTAAATTACGAAACAAAATTAAAATTTTATCTATAGAAACTAAAATATAAAACATTTTAACCCTATAACTTTAAAGTGTAAAACAAAACTAACATCCCATGCTTTAGTTGTTCAGATTTTTGTCAAGAAGAGATGAGTGATATACTAGGAGCTGTCACCTGCAGTCAACCCTCCTACTACTTTTACAGACACCCTTACAGGCACACATGTACACACACATACATATAGCTTTCCAGAAGTTGAATTCATTTGAAAAAAAAATACAGCATGACAAATTTTTCCTCTTACATAGATTCCAAATGATTAACATACTTGGATGATTACAAAAAAGTTTTGGGTAGACTTTCATAACTTTCACTTAATTTGTGTGCTATCTTTGACTACTGATGAAACTAAACATTTCATTCCCATATTAACAATTTTGGAAATAAAGTTAACGTAGTTAATATGAGTATAACATAGTTAAGAGAGTTAATTTACATGAATAAGTAAATTACAGAGTGCTGTTGAATTCCACTTACCTAAGTACGCCTAAAACTGAAGGACAACTAATTGATAACCATAGCATCTTTTATTCCACAAGTATAAAATTATGTTGGTTTATAAATTTGTTATATATATATATTGGGAGTGTACCTATGTAGAATTTCATAGAGTAGGTTTATACACCATCAATTTCGTGATAACTTCCCAGGGGCTTAGCCCCAAGACCGTCTTAAAGATACCCCACATCAGGGATTTTGAAAGAGTTTTAGCTAGATTTGTTTAAACAAAACATATGAAAGTAAAATTTGAAACAGAGGTGATGTAAATAAATGGTATGCTTTGCTCTGCTATTTAATTGTATTTGTTTTTAAGAAGGTTTCTTGGTGCCATGTGGTTAATTAATTACTTTTGCATATATACTAAATGCATACCGTTAGTTTTTAAAAGTATAAAAAAACAAATGGAAAAACTGATTGTGGCAAACTCTATGAGGGGCTCTTACAAGTTACAACTATAGGCCTATTACATTTGAATAGAAATTAACTGGAGGCGTTCCATGATAGATGAGATGTCCACTTCAGTAAGCTACAGTATTACGAGCAAAACGTAGACCATTTTAGCGAATTTCCCTATAGGGAAGTAGCTATTACCGTAGGTCTCGTGGTAAGACTTAAGCCCGGGACCGATTTACTTTTTCATTTTGATGTCCCCAGAGGCCAAAAACACCATTCGTTCAAATTTTTATATATCTATATATATATATATATATATATATATATATATATATATATATATATATATATATATATATATATGTGTCCATCCGCACGATAACTTGAGTAATTTTTGTCCGATTTTGATAAAATTTGGTTTGAAGGTGTAAAGCGGGATAAACTTGAATGAGTTCGCGAACCAGCATGATCGGACTATGGGAACGGGGGTTTATGGGGGGTTTTATGGGGTAAAAATAGGTTTTTCCCATTTTTGACCCTAAAAACAGGAAATTTCACAATTTCTTTTTAAACCATCTTGTAGAGCCTAAAAAAACAAATAATTTAGTATATTGAAGCGTTAGTATGCGCCTAATTGTTACGGAGAAAATTAAAAAAAATTGTAATTTTAAAATTCCCATGTTATTCTTATGGAGAATAAGTCAACTGTTGTAGTTTGCTTGTTTATGAACATATTTTGATCGATTTTGGAAAATACTTTTATTTCTTACTAAACTTTTATCATTTTATAAAAAATCTTTTTTACCCTCCCTGTTGCAGCAAACCTAAGTCTAAACTCGTTAAACTAATTCTATTTAAATAGGAAATAAATATGCTATTTTTATGGAGGCATTTTAGTATAAATCCAATCAGGTTAATGGAAATTCGCTTAGTCTGCAGGTTTGCTGCGGCGGGGGTATTTTAAGTACAATTTCATTTTTTGATTAATTTGTTGAAAAAGGAAAATTAATATCCCACTCCCTGGAGATGCCACATTTTTTGGCGGATTATCGAAGAATATAACAAAATCTACAAGAAAAAATGGTTCTAAAACAATTAATCATTGATATTCTTCTAACCATTGCTTCATTGTGGGTGTATCCGATTCAATAATGGTAATAGTTGCCCTTGTCTGTGGTTACTGGCTGGTATGTGTTGGCGTGTGAAGGTGTGTGTGTGTGCTCATGATGACAAACGATGGTCCCTTAACCTCCCCTCTTCTTTAATTGACTAGTCTTCTTCATTTGTTCCCCATAGATCATGTAGTAAACGGTCGTGTGGTCGTAAATTTCTATGGTGGAACGCTCATAATTCCTTGGAAAAAGCATGGGTTGCCAATTTAATATATTGGGGTTTTGGAAAATCAGAGTGGGAATGAGTCAACGCACAACACCGCTGACAATAAATTATATCTATTTTACTTAAAAAAGATTAAAGGATAATAAATTTATGAAAAAATAAGCACTTTTCTTCTAATTTTTTTTACTTAATAGGGAAGATTTTAACTCTGGTTTAGGCCTATTTCCTTTTTTATTTTTTACAATTTAGGAAGCTAAAACCTTTCCCATTAAAGAAATAGTATTATAAAAAAGATATGGTACAAATATATGAAGTAGCGGTTGGTCACGAGTAATGTCAGTAGAGGTAATGTCATTATCTAGAGAGCCAGTAGCAAGGTCAGGTCAGTTATGAAGTTGCCATAAAAGAGAGTGGACCCGGACATTATACTGAGTGGCATCATTAAACTCTTACCTTCTCCTATGATTCATACTTGGCTATATTACTTTATTTACGATTACATTATTGTACAATTACTTTACCTCACTACCTATTGTTGTTGTTTTAATTGCTTTAGTAAATGTATTATATTTTTTGGGGTTTTTAAGTTAACTTATCCCTTACCAAATATCAAACTCTTTTTTTCCAATGGCGTGGAATATGTTGTTGAGTGTGGAGATATTTTAAAATAACTCTGTGTATTTATAATAGTGTTTGATAAAAAACTATAGTTTTACCTTTTAAAAAATGGGGATTATTAAACATTTGTATGACTTTACATTTGATTAAATACTTTTTAGGTGTTTTAAACTGGATTATTATGACTGAACAAGTTTTCTAATTAGCGAGAAAATACACATTACAAAAACAACTTATTTTGTTTGATGATTAGGCCTACAAAATTATTGGGCAATGTCCATAACGTCTTATAGACAATACTAATAATTTTTTATAGGAATAAGTTATTATGTGCATATAACTCACTTTCTGTTGTCTGTGGAATCCACTCTTTTCTCCACTTTTAAGAGCCTTTGCTTCACAGAGGCCTGATGATTGAGGTATTCCGCCATCAACCTTGCAAACCTCAACTGGAGGTTTTCTAACGATTTTTCTGAAAGAAAGGAAAAAGTGTAATAGGAAAAAGTGATGCTTAAAGGCTTATAAAATATGTACCAAAAGACCATAAATGGGTGAAAAATACAGTAGCCTACATAATATGCGTGTGAGTCTTGATCAATAGGGGATTTTGACGTAACTATTTGTACAATCTTACATTTCTGAAACTCTAACTCGATCACAAGATTTAATTCCCCACCTATTCTCATAATATTTTGTTACTAAACCCACCTACAGTATTTTCACAATGGTATTTTGTCACTCAACCCACCTATACTCACAATATTTCGTCTCTCAACCCATCTATCCTCACAATATTTCGTCACTCAACCCACCTATCCTCACAATATTTCGTTATTCAACCCACCTATCCTCACAATATTTCGTCACTCAACCAACCTATCCTCACAATATTTTGTTATTCAACCCACCTATCATCATAATATTTTCTTACTCAACCCACCTATCCTATTCAGCTTATCCTCCATCCCCTCTTTCTTCTCCTGGGATAGTCTGAAGATGTCCTCGTCCAGAAGGCCATCCTTCCGGAGTATTTGACACCCTCGCTCTAGCAGCGAAGTCCGAGCGTCTGGGTAGTCCGACAAGGCCTTCCACAAGTCCTGCTTGGCAAGACAGAACAAGTCCGAGTAGCCAATACTGCGTACGTTGGCTGTACGGCGATTACCCGTCTTGTTGCCGGGAATTTCCAGAACACTCACCTGGAAGCGGAGTTTTAGGTTAACTGTCAGTGATTGGTTGGTTTTATGAGATAATTTATTGTTAATGATTTTGAATTGTTGTGAACGATTTTTTGAAAAATACTCAAGAACACTGGCACCAAAAAGAAAACCTAATGTACTATTAGGTAATGTTTTAAATATCTGTAAGCCCGTTATTTATTTGATCCTCTTTTACTTTAAAATACAACAAAACATTCTTGAAGTAGATAGTTTGGAATAAATAATCAAAATTTGGTTTTTAATAAAGAAGTAAATACGACACAAACATAAAATGTTATTATATACTTGGTTTTCTCATAAGTGACACAACTGTGGTTTTTATTGCGAAAAGGATATTAGACTCCCAGAATGCTTAAAAATCACTGACTTGCTGAAGATCGTCACAGAAAGACGAACAAGCACTGGCTTTTATAGCTGGTTTTATTGCTAAATATGAGAGCTGATAAAACAAAATTCAAGCTTGGATGTGGATTATTAATGGATAACAAATGGAAACATGTTTAAGTAAAATAAAAACTCTGTTTATTTTTAGACTCATGTAAAAAAATTGTATTTTGTAAGATTTGACTATATTCCTGTACCATTGTACTTATAAATAATATAATATGAATATAGTTATTTGTGCAATTGACTCACTCGAGAGAAGAGGAATGGTTTCTCGAGTGAGGCAGTTGCACTTTGCACTTTAGTTGCACATTATATTTTTCCTACAGATACCATAAAACAAATAAATTGGTAAAGAAACGTAACATATTTTTACACAGAAATGAACTTTTAATATGACATTTAATGATAAACAGCTGACCAGCTGATTTACAGCCAGTACTGCCAACGTATTTCGCGCGCATACGACCTTGTCTGCATGTTACACGCTCACTATTTCGTGGCTTCACGTTGCAAATCTGGAGTGAGACAAAGTAATTAGAGTGAGACAATGTTAACATTGTCTCACTGGTGAGCGAATTGGCCACTTTACTTTCTCAAATCAGTGAGAGAACATGTACATTGTTAAGTAACTGTAGGAAAAAGGATATTTTTGATTTGAAATGATTTGAAGTAAAGTAGGAACTCCAATGATATTAAATACTGGGACCATCATAACTATTCATTGTAAGTTTGATTGAAGTTTTAACACGTTCTTCATTTTCACCCTACTTTTAAAATCATTGGAGAAATCAACCAAAGACAGATTGTTCAATTTTACTCTAATAGATTTTCATGTATTAATTCCTGATTTATGTCTGTTATTTGTATTTGCAACAATCGTGGATGATTCGATGATTCATAGTAATTAATTTGATGGTTTGTTTACACTCATTCTATTAAACTATATGGAATCATAAGCCATACAATGTTACCTTCTCATAATAATGTGGCAATACCTAGACATAATAAAACAAAAATAAAAAGATGGATTCTTAAAATTTATTGCCTTGACTATGAGATATTTCTTTAGGTACAGTTTGACCCTTAACACCAAACTCTTTATTCAATGTATACTTTTTATCCTTAATACCTCGAAATTCCCATTTTTAAGGCAGGCCTCTAAAGCCTTTATTTAAATCTCTTTTATCCCATACTGTGCATAAACTTTCTCTAGCTTCCCTCAAGTCCCTGGTGTTCTATAGATCTAGTATAGTTTTTATATCTCATAGTTTTTGGGTACGAAAATATCCAAAATTCAGGATGAAATCCCTTCCTCCTACCTCTCCGAAGACTGCGCCTGCGCTGAGAGTGGCTAGCACAGTACTCTCGTCGTCTGCTACAACGCTAAGTCTTCCTCTCTTTACTATATACATCTCTTTACCGATGTCTCCCTTGCGGCAGATATAGTCTCCTGGGCTGAAAACCTGCAAAAATATCCTAACTTGAGCACAAACTGTCTTCACAGCTATTGACATAACATTCAAACAGAATTGACCATCAGAAATGTCATACAACCATAGGCGCCTATTTCACAATTAATTATTAGTTACAATGTGTAACTTGGAATTTCCATTTAATTTGCATTGGGCGATCAGCTGATTTACTAATAATTTTAGTTTGTAGTTTATAATGAACAGACCCCAGGAATTTGATTCAGAATCACTCAAAACCATCAAAGAAAATTAAGTGAGAAGATACGTTCAAAATAATTGATTGTTTTTCTAGTTCAAAATAGAGCAAAAGCCAGAAAAATAAAAACATATTGTGTGAACATAAGCTGCAGCACGAGCTGCCTAGAAATTTATTGTACTTGCCCTTTTTCTTTCTTGCAAACAGTTTTTATACCAAATTAATCGAGTCTCACTAGCAGCATAATTATATTTATAATGGTTTGAGTGATTTTAATATTTAGTCATTAATTTAACTTAATCATTTGTAATCTTTATTATTATTTCCTGCTAAAGATATGCAAATTTAAAGGAAACTTTTCCCTAGTCACTATTCCAACTAATTTAATACAACACAATGAAATCAACTTTTTGGAAATTAGAGCTTGGATCATGATAGCAATATAAATATTTTAATCCATTTTAATTCAATTTTTCAAAGCCAATGTTTACATTAAATTGAATTAGTAGACGTTTATAACAGAAAATTACCTGAAGCCTTAATTTGAGGACTAGTTCTTCCAGCAGTCCCGGCTCGCAGTCCTGGAATATCCTGACCTGTTTGAGCGTGTCCAGATGAACGTGGATTGCAATCTCAGCCTTCAACTTGTCTGGTAGAGCTGCAAGCACTTTATCTTCATCAATGGCCTGTGAAAAAACATTACATGAATGTTAGAATGGTACATACAGATTTTTTGTGCTAGTTACGAGTTTGACAGTTTATGACTAATTTGCCCACTTAAATATCCTGGTCATCAAAATCAGGGTACTCTAGTATGGTTGTAATGAAAACGTTTGAGTCATACAAATTTATCACATGCATTAAGGGGGAGCTCATTGGCTGCATGACTCAACAAACTATTAATTAACTGGCCCCCATTAATCCAGTTTTATGATACTTTGAAAAAAAAAACACCAAAGAAAGATTATGTTTTTTGAACTTGTTAAAGATCGAGATAGTGGCAAGAAATTTGGGTATGAAAGCATATATGTACCTATTGTGCAACAGCACATAGAAATTATTATTTCCTTGCCTCCACATCATCCCCATATGATACCAAATAAATATCACTTCATTCACCAACATAAAACCTACTAAAGGCACCTGATATATATATATATATATATATATATATATATATATATATATATATAAATATGCATAAACCAAACTTTTGTGTATTAATAAATTTATCTGTTTCCACCAGTTGAAACCCAATAATACCAGTTGGACATGTTTGATTAGGTCAGTTTGGTTAATAATATTCAATTATTAATGGTGTAGTTTTAGAATGTTTTTTTTTAAGAATCAATGGAAAGAGTTGCAAAAAAGAACTCTATACTGTACAAACAAAGATAACATAGATACTATTAACTTGTGTAGATTTACCACTTTCCTTTCATCATTATACCTGCTTGTTTGCCCAGGTGTAAGCAAACCATCGGATAACTCTCGCCTCCAACTCCTTGGACACCCTGCGGAAGCTCATGTACTGCTTGACCCCATCCATCTTATTCTGGAACTCCACCCTAGCTACGTTCATATTGCTGATCATGCTGCCGATGTTTCCGACAATGGTTGCAAAGATCAAAACTCCAGCGAGGAAGTCGACAACGACGAAGAGGTATTCAACATCGTTCTCTGGTTGTGGTGTTTCTCCTAGAAAAGAAAAAGATTTTTAACAAAAAGAGATTTGAGATGTATTTATGGCATAGTATTTAAAATAATACTATTAGTTTTAATGTGTATTCCTATACTGTGTGCTTGAAAATGGGAGATCGCCGAAAGTAACAATTTGGAACTGACGACAGGTAATATAAAAACAATTAGTCATTATTACAGTTCAGAGGCCACTACAATAAATTTTTGCAAAAATTACTTTATTTGTTTATTTGTTTGAGTTTGGTTCTAACTTCTCCTTTAGATGGTTGTTAAAAATATGTGATATAATTAATTGAAAACTATGACAAAAATTACTTGTAAAATATCTAGAATATATAGATTTGTGCTTTTAAAAATATAAATTTGTAGAATAATTTAACAGAAATCCTATGAAATGGAGAAAGCATTTCTTGGTAAGGTGGTTTTTGTTTAGCGTTAAATCTACAAGTCTTTATTCAACTATTTTTTACTAAACTAATTAATCAATCTCACCAATAGTGGTAAGTGTGAGAGTGGACCAGTAGAAGCTGTATATGTACTGGCGAGACAATGTAGAGTTCTTCTGTCCACTGAGGTTGTACACCCAGTTGTCGGTGCCAAACCCGATGGCGTAGCTGATGGCAAAGTAGAAACAGGCGTTCCAATGGATGAGGACTAGAATGGCAAACACCACCTGCGAACGTGACACAAGTATAGAGGTTTGGTTATTCTTGAGTATTTTGCACCTTCCTTTGCTATTACTATCGTAGGACATTTTATAAGGAGGGCTACTATTAAAACACTGTCACAAAAGTCAAACTACCTCACTTAACCTAACAACACTCATACAAAGTAAATAAATATGTGCAGTTAAGAATGGTATAAACGTACAAATTAGTTAGCTGTTAATTTTTCATCAATTTTTCCAAGAGTTCTGTGGCCTCCCAATCTTGAAATTTGCCTACACCGCAGTTGATCTAAACTTTGCCTGTGCGTACGATAAAGGAAATTGTATAAAAACTTTTACTTTTACTTTATTTAAGTATTCAAGTATTAAGTGTTCCTTAAAAACATCCAATGTGACACAAACGTCTCATTTAAACTAACTCTTTGTACAACTGTAAATACAAATACTGCTAGCAAAAGCACTATACCAACTAATTTACCACAAACCTTGCATATCCGAAAGCTGTTGGGATACCCGGTTCTGGTCTCGGTTCGGTCGAAGAACTCGAGCATCCTAGGTATCCTAAATAGTCGGTTGACTCTGACTATGACGGGGCAAGGCACCGCGGGCGGACAGACGGTACTGGGCCAGTAGAAGTACACGAGGTCTGTAGGGATCAGCGAGGCAAAGTCAAACAGCCACTTTCTGGAGGCGACGTAGTTCTGGCGCAGCTTGACTGCGTCCGTGACCATCATGCCTTGCTCCAGGTAGCCTGAAGGAAAATGGAGAATCAGCTGTGAGGATATGTTTGGTAGAATTTGTGATAGACAACTTGAATGTAAAGTAATAATAGTTACTTATTGATACTTCAGGGTAAATATTCCTGTGAGAAACTCCTAGCCATTGGAAAACTTGGTCAATAATCTTTTGGAGAAAACCATAGCGTGCGCTTGTAATTTCATATCATAAGCTCTTTTTAACTGTCAAATAATCTGGTTGTAGTTTGAACTTGTGCACTTGAAGTTGTTGAAAAATTTAATTTGCTGAAATAACAAGAGTCCATAAGTAAAGGACATGCAAAAAATGCACATTCATATGGACTCTCAGCCTACTGAGAGGTTTTCAAACATCTCGAACAAACTTCCGATCTGGCTCAAGGGATACAGTTACAATATTTACACGTTTCTCAGCTACACTTTTAGAAAGTTCACACCAAGGGTGGTAATTAATTGTATCTATATTTTTGTTTCTTCCTAAATTTCCACAATTAAAAATCCATGAATAAGAGACACCAAGCAATAATTTTTGTCAGAAAAATAATGTTCAGTGATAATTCAGTGATTGTATGAGTTAAACATTACAAATCAATCCTAATGTTTATAATCACAAAGTTGCACCTTCATGTGCGTGTATAACGGTGTCCAACAGGTAGATGCCATCACAGGTGTAGTCCAAGGCCCACCACAGCAATGTTACCGCGTTGTTGAGCTCCCAGAATACACTGCGGCCGATGATGAACACCAGGTTGTAGAATATAGCCAACGTCACGACCGCCAGCCACTAGGGACAAATTGGGAAGATATTAAAAATATTTATTGTTGGTTCAGGGTAGAAGAATTAAGACTTATTATTCAACAGTATAAGTTATACACCAGATATTACTGTAGGCCTACTTAAAAACTATTATCTCATAGGTAAAATACGTTAGTAGTCCTTTATTATTCACAATAGTTCCTTACGTCTCAACATTGTTTAGACAGGAGATGTATAAAAAAAACTTTTTAGAAGGCAAGAGCCACATTAACTTTTGAGTCTTCGTTGATAAGGGATATATAGAGATGCAAATACAATATATGTTTTGAGTGACAAAGCAGAAACAAATTTTACAATAGTCTACTAATACGTAGCCTATACTTTTTCTTGCAAAGCGGAAATCCTTAATTACTTCAATACCAATTATTATTGAAGAAACTTCAGTACGGTAATGGAATAAAGAAAAAAAATATTGAGGAAAATCATCAAATACATAAGATACATATTCTCAAGAATTAATATTACAATTACAATTTGAATTAGAAAAATGTGTGAGTGACATTAAGAACATTTTACGCCCCTCTTACCTGGTAGTGAAAAGGTTGGGTTGGGTCGAAGTTGATGTTCGACCAGGACGAGGGTGGTTTCTTCTCTTCCTCAGGCAAGCGGTGCAGGAACTTGGCTGCGAACCAGTTCGGTGGACGGTTTTCCAACGACCCAGACCCTCTCCCACCATTAGTGGCAAAGCGATTCTGAAAGAAAAATATGGAGTCTGTATCATAGTAAACCTTTACATACCACCTTATAGCCTGTAATAGGTTTTGTACAACTCATCTCTATAAAGTAAGCAGGGAAGATTTACTATCTTATAGTATCATTTAGAATTTGACGAACTAAGGTATTTAGATTCATATTATTCAAGTAAGAACAATGTGAAAGTAAAAAATATAACTTGGGAATTTAGGCAACCAAATATACGACTTGTAGGACTTATTTAATGCAGCCTTTGCAAATTTACCTTACCTTAATTATTTAGAAGCTACAAAACACATAGTCCGTATTTAAATACAAATTTCCTAACATACTTCTTCTAGTAAAGTAATTGCATCTTACAGTGACTTTAAAACATGAAAAACTGATTTGGGAATTATAAAGTAGATTAATATTCATTATAGGCTTAATTTATCTGTGTTATTAGGCCTATATGTCATGTGACAATTAGGAAAATGGTACGTTTTTCATATTTAAAATCTAAACCGAGATTTTACACTAAATAAAAAAAGGAGAAAGCATAGAATCTCAATAAATATTTGAAAACTAAGGATTTATGTGCTTAGTTTATACAAAAGATAAGGCATGCAATTGGAATGGTGAGGAATTTTAATTTAAATTATTTTGCAAGTATGCTCGATGTTTACAAATTGTGTACTAAATGTAGGACCCTACTAACAGACACTAAGCTTAAAATATATATCTACAATAATACAATACCTCAATAATTTGTCAGTTAAAATTAAACGATTGTCAAAATCAATTGCAAGATTAATTTCATTGAACTTTCAAAATTTTTGTCAATTCATGTTATGTACATTTAGCATGGGAAAAATTATATTGGTGAGAATTTTGAAGTTATTGAAAATAAAGTGCAAACCCGTCATAGGACTAATGTTAGTTGTTAGTAGATTTATTATTAGTTCTGCAAGAAATTAATATACTTACTCTAAGTGTGAAGGCAATTCTTTGAAGTAAACGTCGGTTTCTTCTCTCTCCGGCATCCTATCAATACAAGATCAAATGAAGTAGGATTCACGGGATGAAATTTACCCACTTAAATGAATAAATGTCCTTGGCGAAAGTGTTTGGAATTTATTTTCAATAATTGTAACTCCAAATTTGCTCTTACCCAATTATGTCACATGACACTTTTTTTCCGTGTTCTATGGGAACAATATAAATAAACAAATCGAAACATGAAAATTGAAAACTTCACAAACTACCTAATTACAATCTGTCATTCCTTATACTTGATTTAGCAAGTTCAAATTCCCCTCTTCTGATTCTTAGGCTGCTGTGAACTATAAATTACCAACCCTTAGTAGTTTTTGTATTCAGCCAAAAATGCACTTACATTTCCATTATAAAGGGAACAGCTACATTAATTTAGTAAAATCAATGTAATAATCCTAAAATTAGGTGGTAATGATAATATTCAACATCAAAGCTGAAATAAGATGGCTAATCAGATAAATGCACCACTTTATGTAAGCAAGAGTCGTGATTTTGCCTAAATTGCTCGTGAGTAAGCTTTTTAACTTAAAACATGCCTTTCTTGATGCCCATAAACTAGTCTTAATAGGTCATAGCACCATATTTTGGAAAATCAAATGAAAATGTGTGCTATTCAACTTACACATTGGTGTAATGAAGGCTTTGCGAAGAGCTGGTTGGCCGGACCCGGGTCTTCGTGGAAACTCTGCCCGGACACCGTCGGCACCGGCACCACCTTTACCATGTGACGTCATTAATAAAAATCTGTACATGCATTCTTCAACTGCAAATGACACATTGCTCTATGATCTAGACACCCTGTATCCTCTAAATTAACCTCTGGCGTTCCACAGTAATCCACAGTAAATCAACCCTAACTTCATAGCAATTACACCTTTAACAATAAAAACTTAACAATAGAACACCCAACAATAAAACGTCAGACAACTGACCTTCCATTGGTTTAACTTCCAAAATAACTTCAATTTTCAACCAAAAAACTAACTATCCAAATTACAATACCCAATCAATCTTAAAAATCCAACTTTTGACAATTCAGAATCTCATTGTCTATTGAAAATTAAGTTATGAGAAAAAATTATGTTATGTAAAAAATATGTACCTTGGATCACTAAATAATAGAGAGACAGAGCCCTAAAGCAGTTGGAAGTCAGGATTAAGAGCGAAAACCCTTTCCAAACATAGATAACACATTTTTCAAAAGTTTCTTTCAAAGGGAACAATTTCATTATTGATCAAGGAAATACTGACATACATTTGGTTCAGATCTAGACTAACAACTAATAAATGCAAGATAGGGTCAAACCCGTAACAAAAAATCATCTTAGTTAAAAAGCACCACATTTTCAGTATGTTTCAACAAACATTGGTTTAAATTAAACTTCAAGCAAAGCGCTTAAACAAACAACCACTTGGAGCTCCCTTTTCTTAGCAACTGTTAATTTGTTTACTACGTTTGTGTGGATTCCCTCAAAGTAAAATATTCTTTTTTTACTGAAACCAATTTTCATTATACTTTCAAACACACAATGTAAATCATAATGTTCTTTATTTTTATGAAGTAAATCTAATTCACATCCTTACAATGCTTTAGTGTCTCATTTCAGTACGATTACTCTGAAAGATGTACTGCTATAGGTTATAATTACAACAATATAAACAACAATGCAGCAATAACATTTTTAAATGAAATAAGGGGTCTAATTGTACTAATCAAACCTGATTTTACAATAAATTATGAACTTTAACAGCGAGGGAGTTGAAGGGCAATATAAAATACTGTAGTTTAAATAAATTTTTACTATACTTGTACTACTCAAACCTGATTTTACAACAAATTATGAACTTAAACAGCCAGAGAGTTTAAGGGCTGTTGATAAAATACTTTAAATAAAAAAAGTTCCCAATAAAGATAATATGAGGTACGTAGCTTACAGCCAAAGAAAGAGCAACAATAATAATTAGGATACTGCATAATAAAAAGGGGATAAAGTCATCGAAAAAAAAAACACATGAAAAAAATCATTAAATAATTTACGATTATTGGACTTAAGTCTCCCTCCAATAAAAATATATATACTAACCACTTTGACAAGATTCTGATAATGTATAAAGGTATTTTACAAAAAATCATTGTATATAAAAAAAAAAAAAACTAACCTGATATGCAGCATGACCTTTGGATATACGAACAGAACCGTCGTCGGCATGAATGTACTTTGGGGAGTCCAGAGTTCTAGCAGCCATCATACAGATCCACATGGGTCAGAGACTCACGGACCCAGCCACCGTCCATCCGCATCTCTGTAACACACCAAACAATATAAATGTACTGTGGAGAGTCCAGAGTTCTAGCAGCCATCATACAGATCCACATAGGTCTGAGACTCACGGACCCAGCCACCGTCCATCCGCATCTCTGTAACACAACACACAACATGAATGTACTTTGGAGAGTCCAGAGTTCTAGCAGCCATCATATACAGATCCACATGGGTCAGAGACTCACGGACCCAGCCACCGTCCATCCGCATCTCTGTAACACAACACACAACATGAATGTACTTTGGGGAGTCCAGAGTTCTAGCAGCCATCATACAGATCCACATGGGTCTTTGGGTCAGAGACTCACGGACCCAGCCACCGTCCATCCGCATCTCTGTAACACAACAAACAACATGAATGTACTTTGGAGAGTCCAGAGTTCTAGCAGCCATCATATACAGATCCACATGGGTCAGAGACTCACGGACCCAGCCACCGTCCATCCGCATCTCTGTGACACAACACACAACATGAATGTACTGTGGAGAGTCCAGAGTTCTAGCAGCCATCATACAGATCCACATGGGTCAGAGACTCACGGACCCAGCCACCGTCCATCCGCATCTCTGTAACACAACACACAACATGAATGTACTTTGGAGAGTCCAGAGTTCTAGCAGCCATCATACAGATCCACATAGGTCTGAGACTCACGGACCCAGCCACCGTCCATCCGCATCTCTGTAACACAACACACAACATGAATGTACTTTGGAGAGTCCAGAGTTCTAGCAGCCATCATATACAGATCCACATAGGTCTGAGACTCACGGACCCAGCCACCGTCCATCCGCATCTCTGTAACACAACACACAACATGAATGTACTTTGGGGAGTCCAGAGTTCTAGCAGCCATCATACAGATCCACATGGGTCTTTGGGTCAGAAACTCACGGACCCAGCCACCGTCCATCCGCATCTCTGTAACACAACACACAACATGAATGTACTTTGGAGAGTCCAGAGTTCTAGCAGCCATCATACAGATCCACATAGGTCTGAGACTCACGGACCCAGCCACCGTCCATCCGCATCTCTGTAACACAACACACAACATGAATGTACTTTGGGGAGTCCAGAGTTCTAGCAGCCATCATACAGATCCACATGGGTCTTTGGGTCAGAAACTCACGGACCCAGCCACCGTCCATCCGCATCTCTGTAACACAACACACAACATGAATGTACTTTGGAGAGTCCAGAGTTCTAGCAGCCATCATATACAGATCCACATGGGTCAGAGACTCACGGACCCAGCCACCGTCCATCCGCATCTCTGTGACACAACACACAACATGAATGTACTGTGGAGAGTCCAGAGTTCTAGCAGCCATCATACAGATCCACATGGGTCAGAGACTCACGGACCCAGCCACCGTCCATCCGCATCTCTGTAACACAACACACAACATGAATGTACTTTGGAGAGTCCAGAGTTCTAGCAGCCATCATATACAGATCCACATGGGTCAGAGACTCACGGACCCAGCCACCGTCCATCCGCATCTCTGTGACACAACACACAACATGAATGTACTTTGGAGAGTCCAGAGTTCTAGCAGCCATCATACAGATCCACATGGGTCAGAGACTCACGGACCCAGCCACCATCCATCCGCATCTCTGTGACACAACACACAACATGAATGTACTGTGGAGAGTCCAGAGTTCTAGCAGCCATCATATACAGATCCACATGGGTCAGAGACTCACGGACCCAGCCACCGTCCATCCGCATCTCTGTGACACAACACACAACATGAATGTACTTTGGAGAGTCCAGAGTTCTAGCAGCCATCATATACAGATCCACATGGGTCAGAGACTCAACGACCCAGCCACCGTCCATCCGCATCTCTGTAACACAACACACAACATGAATATACGTTGGAGAGTCCAGAGTTCTAGCAGCTATCGTACAGATCCACATGGGTCAGAGACTCACCGACCCAGCCACCGTCCATCCGCATCTCTGTGACACAACAAACAACATGGATGTACTGTGGAGACTCCAAAGTTCTAGCAGTCATCATACAGATCCACATGGGTCAGAGACTCACGGACCCAGCCACCGTCCATCCGCATCTCTGTAACACAACAAACAACATGGATGAACTGTGGAGAGTCCAGAGTTGTAGCAGCCATCATACAGATCCACATGGGTCAGAGACTCACGGGCCCAGCCACCGTCCATTATCCGCAATTTAGAAACACCCATGTAAACATTTGTAATTATATACTTTAAATTATCCTGTTATCACTAAATAGGGCAGTGAACATGATTCCAAGACTACAAAACGTATTTATATAATGTAGGCCTATTTACATGTCTACACGATTCTAAAAATGCCCTAATTTTCCTAACAATAAGTAACATTTGTAAAAGAAATTCACACCTAGAAAATGCCCGCGCTGTAAAGAAGGAGTACACGTAAATGCTTAAAGAAGCAATCAAATCATTGTTTAGAATTTTATACTAATTTGCGCTGAAAGGCAAGGAAATAAAAAAGGTTCATAATGCAATAAGTAAACACATTTCCTTTTGGAATAGATTGGTAAATGGAAACGTAATGAAATGTTTTCTTTTCAACATCCAACAATTCCTATTGTAGAATTCATTTACTTTACTTCTCTTAAAACCCAAAGGTAATAATGCTTTTAACGTCATTAAATTAATAAGTTTTATCACTTTCTGGGAAAAACGACTTTGAAAACATGTCTTTGTTATTTTATAATGTTTAATGTACGTGTAGGTAGAATTAAGGTGGGGATTGTATTATTCAGAGTGTTTCCATTCGTCGGCCTGTTTAAGGTTGTCACAATACTTTGGCATTAAGGACAAGCCAAAAACAAAGTGTAAAAATTTAACATACGAAAACTTGGTTTTAATACATAAAGAGCGGCGTGCAAACCACTACAGTATAACCATTAAAACGTAAACATATGTAAAACAAAGTTCGTAACTGATGAAATAAAACTGCAACCTCGCGTTATATGTAATGTATAAATCGCATGTCTCTGGGACACATCTTTAAATTGTTTACTGAAATTGAATAGACGATGAAAGTCAAATGTTTCCAAAGCACTTGAGAAACCATTAGTCATTTCAGGATAAAGCGATATTCAATGTGACGTTTTCTTTCCGCATCGTTAAACATAACAATGCTAGCTATAAAGTCGGTTATAAATCGGCTAAATATATTCTACGATTGAACCGCTTAAATATTTATATTCATTAAGAAAAAAAACATGAGAAATAATTTTGATTAGTTAAAAAAAATTACTTGAACCAACCAACGTTTTCAAGTTTCAATCAACTCTTGATGATAAACTGTTCTATAATTCATTGTTTCAAAAGTTCATGAAGACTTCCTTTACTTATTGTAAAAATAACAAAAAACTCAATTGTATACATACTTTTTTTATTTATATTAAGATAATTTGTTCTTTATCTTAATTGAATCGGCCTACGAATATTTGAAGAGCATGTAGGTAAATTAAAGGTGGAAAGGGGATAAAATGGAATGACTTGAAGTCTAACTAATTATTGAAATATGATACTATTTTAAGATTTTGATATATGTATTTTAGAGCGGATCTTGGTACATATTATCATGTAGCCTAAGGTAAAACTACTTAACTAATGAAAAATTTGCTCGCGATCTTTTTATAAAATATAGTAAAACATGTGCTTTGAATAGAGTAGTATCAACTAAAAAATAGGTAAGTAAGGAAATGGGTGGTTGAATGTGTTGGTTGAGGGGTGGGAGAGCCCCAACTATCAATTTGGGTCCGTACCCATGGCAACAGACATACCATTAACTGTCTTGCAAAATTTTCTATCCTCCATCGAAAGAAAGAAAATGTTTCTGTAAGATGTTTACCGCTGTTTTCGCTACAGGACTGGTGTTTTCCTTATCTCAAACATTGGAACATGAATATAATCTTAGAAACTTTTTTATGTTAGACATTTTATCCACACCTATATGCTAAGAGGTAAAAGTCAGTTGGCATTCTTCACGTTTATATTGTTTATAAATACTTAATTGTAATGCAAAAGTAACTATCCTTAACTTTACACAACTAAAGAAAGTTTCACAAAGGTATTACTATTGATAAACGTAAAAATAACAAATTTAGCTGCACTTCCATGTCAATTTGACTGATTGAATTTAAAACAGCTTATTGGTTTATCGGTTCATTGATAAAGCTTTACTTTGAAAGTTTTTGGTTTTTAAGGGGTTTATCTCATATGGGCAGTTAATAATCGAAAATTCTGGTAAAAAGTTAGCTATTAACCCATTAAATTTGTTAGAAAATTAAGATAGATATTTGGAATACCTATAGTAGTAGCAAACATTAATTACAAAAATAGAAAATCATAAAATTACTAGGTCATTTGATTATTTTACTTGTCTTCAGTTGGTTACTTATATAAAATTTAAATGGTAGTTCTTTATTGGAAAAATACAATAATACAGAATAGAATTAAGTAATTTCTGGGACATTTAACTTTGGAGCGAATTAATTAGTTAGTAACACGTAAATTGAAAAAAATAGGTGATTAGGTAGCTCATAAATGCTTAAGAAACGATTCAGCATTCAATAGCTCAATGATTAGGAAGGTTAGTAGTTCTATGGATTAATTAAATGTTAGTAGTGAAGGGTAGTACAATAATAATAATAAATAGAAAACCCAACGAATCCATAACTAGGTTACAGAGTTTAAGCAGTTCTGTAACTAATGAAGCTAATTGAAGCAACTTAGTAAAACACAGATTTCTATAGCAATTAATTGTTCAACACTTAAATCAAGTAGTTTACAACATTCGATTACTTTATTTTGAAATAATATTGAGCTTATTAAAGCAATTCACTGTTTCTAAATTTGTTGATTCAGTAAATAAACATTTTGGTATATACTGTATAATAATTCAATTTCTTAAAAACCACAAACTTTATAA